TTATCGCGCCGTTATTCTCATCTTTCATCAGACCCGGCATCTTTTTATTCGCGAGCGGTATACCGTACGCATTATTCGCGGCGTAATCGCTGGTATCGAATCGAGCAATATCGCGTTTCAAATTTTCATAGACATCTTGACATTTAATTTGATATATTAAACTGTCCGTGTCGGTGTACATTACTCTACAATTGTCACGATAGAGCGGTGACATGTATTCGTGATGAAATTCATAAAGGCATACTTTAGATATGTCGAGTATGCACATGCCGACGTAGATTGGTTTGTAGAATTTTACTTCGAGTTTGCGTAATTCTATGGCAACTAATTTTTCCGAAAATATGCTCGTACTATGAAAATTTGATTTCGCGATCATTGCCTCCACACCGTACCGTCCCATTTTGTTAATAATTTTACATCCACATGTTTGCGCACATTTTCCATCGTCTTGCCGAATACCGCATTATTCATCAGTTTATATAAATTTTTTTCAAAATCGTTTTTCGCATGTGTTCTAAACTGTGTATTGAGTTCGATGTATTTTTGCAGCCACGCTGACTGTGTGAATTGTAGTATGCAGTATATTTTTGTTATGCGTAGCCCGTGGCGCGTGCACTGCTGTAGATTACGATAGTGTATTACATAGCGCTTCTTATCGCAAAGCGTTGCGAGGAGTTTATACTCCCGCTTGCCGGGTGGCTTATCGCGCGTCGGGCAAAACGGTAGGTCATTGTGCGCGTTATGAAGATGCCGCGGATACTCTAAATCTACTTCGAGAACATAGCCTATAGGCGAATCGAACGCGATAGATGAAACGTCAAAATTTGATATATCGTCGACCCACCGAAAATCGGCAATGATTGACACATTGCCCATCCGTACAAATTATTTACATCAAAATACATGAGGTACCATGAGGGTTTCGATGGGTCGTACGATTGCATGTACTTGTTATTAGCCTGTGCGTATCGGCCTGAACATTGACTAAGGCCGCCGCGTATACCCCGTTCGACAAACATAACCATGTCAATGTCTGTTAATAATTCAAATTTTATATCTGTATGTTTTAACATGGCGTCCCATGTATATCCGGAGAGAGTATAATAATACGCGGGATCGAGTCCATAACTTTTTATACAACTATCGCGAAAATTTTCAAATATGTCTGCCAATAACAAGACATCAATTTTTAAATATAAATCGTTATATTCGCCTAGCGTTCGAAGGGAAAATCGGCTCCAGACGGTCTCGGCGTGCGCGTAATCACTCTCGGATACTGTGTCGCTGGTCAGGGAACTGTAAAATGAGTCGCGCAGCGGTAAACGTGTGTCTTGTAATCTGTCCACGCAGTCAATGTATTCGTATGGAAAGACACCCTTTCGTGTCAATAAATTGAATTTTTCACTAGTTAAATTTTGATATTCCGAATGTAAAATTTTTAGTTTTTCTTTGTCCAAAAATGACGCTAATTTGTCGAGACTAGCGCTGAAAAACTTGTACGAATCGATAAAGCGTAATTTAATATAATTTTTCGAATTATTATCTTGTGTCAATCTAACAGTTTTCGAGAATGATATGTATTTTTCCTTTGTTATCGGCAGTAATTCGATTTCCCCTTTGAACGCTGTGGCTATGTCCTCGATAATGAAATGCGCGTCGTAGCCGGACAGATTGTGAAAGACTATAGGGATACAAAATGATTCTTTGTAATTTAAGTTACAATTTGAGTGCGCGGGGCCTCTGTACCGCCCGGTGAGGTGGCAATGATCGCGAACGCGTGTATCGTCTTCGTCAAACGGTTTTTCGCATATATGACAATGTGTTGCGCTGCGAAATTTTGCCCACTCGTCAGGCGTTAAATTTATCATGGGGACATTGGTCGTTAAAATATTTTTTACGCGGATTGCTAAATTTTTAAGCTGTTCGGCGAACCACGCGACGCAATCGACACTACGGCGGAAATTGTATGTGGACAACGAACTGTCATACGAACACTGTACGTAATACGCGATGCTGAATACTTGATGGTGTTGATAATTTTTGACATCTTCGGTCTTTGTCAAAACACACTCGAGGTCGGCGTACACCACAAACGGCAGCCGCTCCTTCCTCGTGTAGTTGTCGAAGCTGAGCCACTTGTCCTTGTCGCTCGGCAACCGAATAGCGTAGTCGTTTAGTTTTCCGCAATCTTCCGTATGCGCCTGCAACTGGTCCTCAGAATAGAAATAATGTAGGCATTTGTAAAAAATAAAAAAATTTATTTATTATAAAATTATTTTTAATATAATTTACGTGTAATAAATATATATACTTACCGATCGCAAATAAATTTTCTACATTTGTGTTTGCTCAGTTGTGAGCTCACGAGGCGAGACAGATTTTTTATCAAAACAAAATGCCCGACGCTGTTTTCGTCTTCCACGTACAGCAGATTGACGTGTCTGTCTTTCTTTTTTTCCGAAAGACGTAGCGGGACGATGTTCTCGTTCTCGATGATGTACACGTTTACGGAGATGTCGTTTGCAAGTTCGAATTTTTTAATTTGATTCACAGTCACTGGAAACTCAATGTTTTGGAGATTCAGCACTGTGGTGTAATGCGGATAGGAGGATTCTCGTTCCATATGTCTTTCAGCGGGGTATAGAGCGGCTACCACTGACCATGCAAAACACGCATTGTCCGCTGATCGCACATTAACAACCGCTCTTTTTACCATAATTTTTTGCGGTAATTTGACATGGCATTTAGCGCGCATTGGATTATACTTGTTGATATTCACAGTCAAATCTATTATCCGCGACAATGCCCAGCCGCTATCGCGTTCCTGGAACTCTTCTAGCGATGCTAGCGTGGGCTCGATTACGCGGTGCTCGTACCACTCGCGTACATCGGACGTGCGAAAGAGTTCAAAGTTTCTCGTGTTGATACTTTTATTGGCACGCTTGTCACCGGACACAAATTCGCCGTTGAAAACAGTGTTCACTTTTACACTGATGTGTCTCTGCAGCACATTCTCCACGTTTTCGACTACAATGTTTGCTGCATTTTCCAAAAACTGACGCGGTTCGATGTAGTCTGCGTTAATTACCGCACCGGTCAGTATATACGGCTATCGAACGCCGTATCGATTTCGCGCCAAACGAGTCTTTGCACGTTATTGCCACCGCCACTAAATCCACCACTAAACATGGATTCACCGACATACTGTCTCTGCAAGCGCACCTTCGCACCCTCGAGTCGCGCTATTCTCGCCACGAGAGATTGCCTATGTCCAATCGAGAGACGCGGACGCTTGGCACGGCTGCGTTCTTCCAGCTGTGTGATAAATTCTTCACAATCTTGCAGCCATCCGAAATATTCGCCCAAGGTGGCGACTTGGCGGGAACGCTCCAACAGGCCGCGCTCAATATGTTCTACGTTCTCCATTTTTATTGCAAAAACAATTTACTCACTCACTACTATGCTCGCCAGTGGTACTATGACCCGGCAGCTGCATCGGTCCTCATTATATATCCCGATCATCCCTTTGTTCTTCAACGTATGATGGAATTGTTAATTCGCGAGAAATATTTGCGCTATCTTATCTTGGATTCGAAAACTTAGATATCGCTGATAATTCTTAGAAATTCATAGATAAAGCCGCCATTCCATTTCACCTCGTCGCAAGACACGTCGGATCCAAGCCTGGATTCTGCGAAGACATATCGCAACCTGTGAAGCCTGCGTTCGCCCCCGCTGATATTTCTTAGAAATATACGTATCAACCCGCTTGATTGTCGGCGCTCGATCCATGCGGCACCCATTCGCAGAATTTTTATCTTATCTTCGGAGAAAATTTAGATGAAGAAACGCAACCCCCTTAGTAATAGATATCTGAATGTCGGCGCTCGATCCAAGCTTGGATTTTGCAGCAGCCCTTCGTAGAATTTATCTTATCTGCAAACTTTGATACCTTACAAAGACGCCGCTTATCTTGGATTCGAAAACTTAGCTTATCTTATCGGCAAACTTTGATACCTTACAAAGACGCCGCTTATCTTGAATTCGAAAACTTAGCTTATCTTATCTTGTTTATGAAAACTTAGATATCGCTCAAAGACGCCGCTTATCTTATCTTGTAACAGATATTCGCTTATCTTATCTTGTAACAGATACCCGCTTATCTTGTTTATAAACATATCAGGTAACATGATCCCTTATCAGGTAACCTGAGCTGATAAGATAAGCTTATCTACTGATAAGACCCCCTCCCCCGCGTGACGTCACCCCCCCTCGCCAACGATTTCCCCCCGCCCCGCACCCCCCCTCATTGCCCCGGGTTACAACCCCCATATTATTCCTACTAACATCATCATCGTCTTTAATGAAATGTAGAATCAGTTAATTAGTAGTCAGCAATTAAGTTCGTTTATTATTAATAATTTATTTCGCGAGAACGACTAGCATTAAGCGACGGAACATTGTCATTTTTATGAACTTTTCGGGATCTTTTCGTGAATTTTTGAGATATTCGCATCTTATTTATTGGTTCCGTGATTATAATTATGATTTTACATATAGTTTTGCAATAGATATATTTTGGACGTACTTTAATGTTACTCTTGTCGTTCGCGCATAAAAACTTGTTTACGCGCATCGACTTGTTACATCAGGTGTTCGAAATATCCAGATCTTATTTTGTCTATTATACGGTTGAGCGCAAGGGGACGCGATTCGAACAAGTGTTAAAATCCGTACGTGTGTAATTAATTAAGGAGATCTTTGGAATTCCCGGCTCAATCAAATCACGAGCATCTAACAGTCACATGGAACTTTTAACGCCCAACCAAGTAAATTTCAACACCCCATATCTTTGCGCCCGGTCGGGATCACGTGCGCTCATACAATTCCACATATTTTATATATATATATATATATATATATATATATATATACTTTCTTCTTTTTAATCTGTTAAATATATTTCATTTTATTATAATTCCAGATGTACTCAAACATCGAAATGGCAGAAGATGTAAGTATTTTATTTTTCATTATAAAATACTATTATTTTTTATTATAAAAAACTATTATAAAACTAATATTCTTTATATATTTCAGATACCGATGAATGAAGCCGACCACGTCGCCGCCGACTATCGTAGAGGTTAGTTATATTTTAATTTAATCAAATTTAATCAATATACCCAGCAGAGATGCTCATTAATTAATTACTTTTTAAATTAATTATGACATTTAATTACAACAGATGTAATCAAATGTAATTAAAATTTTTTTAATTGACGATTAATTTTAGAAAGATTAATTAGATTTCGTTACAATGACGATTGATATAAGCTAGATTAATCGAAGATCGTTTAATTAACAATTAATATGATCGAAGTCAATTAAAGATTATTTAATTGACAATTGATATAAACGAAATTAATCGGAGAACGATCGATTAAAAATTAATACAAGCTAATTTAATTAAAAATTTTTTAATTAACGATTAATATGAGTTAATTTTAATTAGAAGTACTTTAATTGACGATTGAAAAAAACAGATTCAATCGAAGACAATTCAATTGACAATTGATTTGAGCAGAAACAATTAAAAAAAATTTAATTGACGATTAAATATAGCAAATTTAATGCGAATCTCTTCCATTAATGATTGACTTAAGAAAATCGATATAATTTCTCTATTTCCATTAATTAACAATGTGTAACGATTAATACAATTTAAATTTTAATCGAAGATGTTTGATTGATGATATTAAAATGACTGAATTTAAATAATATATATTTTTTCCTTGGTTCTAGCAAAGTTATTGTACGTAAAAGTTACAATATAAATAATAAATAATTTACGTTTTTTAAACCATATTTTTATTCAGAACATTTTCAATTCATTATACATTTTATTATATTTAATTTAATTATATTTAATGTTAATATATATTTCTCGAATTTTTGTTCTAAAATAATAAATGTATAATATGTTATAATAAAATGTGTTGTACATATATACAATATATATTATAATTCAAAATTAATAATCAAATGTAAATATTGCAGGAAGTTTGGTAATATAACGAAGTGTAACCATACAGTTTCCTTCTGGAGAACATTTCTGCATTCAACTAGGTAACCATTTCACAATGTTTTTACATATTACATTCAAATTGTGTTTATTTATTATAAATAAATTATTAGATATTATAATTCAAAATTATTAATCAAATGTAAATATTGCAGGAAGTTTGGTAATAGAACGAAGTGTAACCATACAGTTTCCTTCTGGAGAACATTTCTGCATTCAACTAAATAACCATTTCACAATGTTTTTACATATTACATTCAAATTGTGTTTATTTATTATAAATAAATTATTAGAGAGAAATATTGAAAAATATTGAATGTATATATTTTGTTATTATGTATTTATTTATATATTTATATTTTTTTTATATTGAAAAAATTCATTTTTCTTTTTCCTTTTTTTAAATAAATAAATTTTATTAAATATTTGTTTGCCAAATAAACAAAAATGTAATCGTACACCAGCAATTACTTTTCAAAATATTATTTTTTTTGTGTGTGAATAGTTTCATATAATATCTGGATTGCAAATATATTGGTAATAATAATAGTTTTGTTGCATATCTATTATGCATATAATTTGGAAATAATATAATTTAATAATTAAAAATTGCAAACAGAATAATATATTCACATATTTATATTTATTATATTATATCTGCACATATTCATATTGATGAGATAATTGTTTATTATATAAAATCATGTGCGTGATAATTAAATATTTTCTATGCAATCAAATTAATAAGGAATATAATGATTTAACATGATTATATTCTAAATCTGTTGGTGAAAACGTTACGTGTAACAAATATATACAATTAAAGTTATTAAAATTTTATTATTTTTGTAAAATATCATTTACTTTGTAGAATACTTGAAGATATTACAATTCTATTTTTTAATAATAAATTAATTAAATTTAATAAAGAAAATAAAACATTTTATCGTGTTCTGATATTGGTGGACTTATTAACCATAGCGTGTAATTAAATATTATAGGTCTACGCTTATTGTGATAAAGCTCTTTGATTGTTAATTGACTGAAATATAACCTAAGAGCTTTGGACATTCACATTCCACAGTAATCAAAGAGTTAGGATTATCAATTTTCTTTAAGGTAACGTATTTGTTTGATAGCAGAGCAAAAACGCGAGCGATAAGTGTCAAGAGAGAAGTGCGCGACAAAGAAAAGAACGTTTTCGCAAAAGCGATTAATTAGAGAGTCGATTTTTTGACGCATACAATGTATATTTAAGACGGACACTATTTACAGGCTATTTACACTGGTTAAATAAACCGTAGTTTAATACGTGAATCCGCGAGCTACGGGGAAGGCGATGCGTTAGTTGCTGGCTATACGCGAGCTACGTAAAGTCAGAACCGCGCCGAAATCGTACGTGCTACTTGCGACAGATATGCGTCTAATTCCGAGAGCGACTATATCCCGGTCGATCTGGGGTGCCCTTTTATAGCAACGTGTTTCGAGAAGATTCTAGATGCCTTCAAAATTACATGTTATTATTTTAGAATTGTCTCGAAGGACATTAGCGTATTATTTTTCGTAGAGAGAATGTTGTTGTTTACAGTTCTCATATTAGCGCTTGCTATAGGCGCTTTGGACTGTATACGCGCGGTGTCGCGATTGGCAAAGATAATCTGCGGTAATTTTGCCTAAATTCGACTTGCACTAGGGCGTTTTTAAACATTCCGCCCGCCTTCGCTCGAAACTTTCGGCGAATTCGCTGCTGGGGCTCTACCGCTGACTCGCTACGCTACTGCGCTCAGCTGATTGATGCCCGATCACGCTTCGACCACGTGAAGACGCACGTGTACATACGAGTGATACGAGTACGCTACGCAGCGCGATATTCTATCGATTAATATTTCGGTGTTTTACTGTGAAAGTGATCGTGAAAAGAATCAAATGCGTGTGCGGTGAAGTGAAAATTGGGCCAAAGTGTCGACGAAGATGTACAATATTTTCAGTGCACGCAAGTGAGTATCGGTTTGCTGTCGGACAGTTCTAACCTGACAAGTCGAATAATTTGGCATGTATAATTGACAGGTGATACTTGAGCTGAGAATCTGTGGATGAAAAGAGCCTATCTACACTATTATTTTTCATCGATGTCAATGCGCTTATGATACAGAAGTACTTGAGCCTTCGTGATCCGACGGGCCCTCGAGTGCATCGTCGCCACTGGAGGGAAGCAAGACGAGTTTGACGATGGGTCGAGTGAGCTCCGTCGCTGCCGTCTTTACTGTGACGACACGAATTCTTCCCTCCTCTCCAGGATGTACGCGGATGATTCGAGCTAGTGGCCATCTCGTCGGCGGTACGTTCTCGAACCGGATCAGACAGAGGCGCCCCACGTTGAAGTCGGAGTCCGCCTTTAGCCATTTCGGACGATGAGCGAGCGTATGGAGATATTCCTGGGATCAGCGTTCCCAGAAGTGATCCCTCAATTTCTGCAAGGCTTGCCAGCGGCTCAGGCGGTTCGCTGGCTGATTCATAAGTGAGGGTTCCGGCAGTGCGGTTAGCGAGGAGCCGATCAGAAAATGCCCCGGCGTGAGTGCGGCTGGATCCTCAGGGTCGTCCGATAGTGCCTGCAACGGTCGGGAGTTGAGGCACGCCTCGATCTGTGCGAGGAGAGTAGCCATTTCTTCAAACGTCAGCGTAGCTTCTCCCAGGACTCGGCGAAGATGATGTTTGAGGGATTTGACGGCTGCTTTCCAGATGCCTCCAAAATGTGGTGCGGCCGGCGGGTTAAACAGCCACTGGATGCCCTCGCCGGCAAGACGACTGACTATTTGACGGCCTTCGTTGCTGCTGGCCGCAAAGAGAGCTCGAAGCTGAGCGTCGGCTCCAACAAAGTTCGTGCCGCAATCGCTCCGAATCGTGCGGCAGATGCCTCTTCTAGCGGTAAATCGCCGCAAAGCAGCTATGAACGCCTCGGCGGTGTAGTCAGAGACGACTTCCAAATGGACCGCTCGCGTGGCGAGGCAAATGAAGGCCGCGATGAACGCCTTGTACGCTCGATGTCCTCGCCCTTTCGTTGTCCTCAAGTGAATCGGGCCGGCGTAGTCGACTCCGGTGTGCAGAAACGGCCGGGACGGAGTGACTCGATCTCGCGGAAGACTGCCCATCAATTGTTGTGGAATCGCCGCCCGCCATCGCACGCACGTCACACATCGGAAGATAAGCTGTTTGACTACAGCTCGTCCTCGAGGAATCCAGTAATTCTGCCGGGTTAACGCTAAGGTCGCCTGGACTCCCCCGTGAAGAACTCGTCGGTGACAAGCCGTGACGATGAGCTGAGTGAAATGCGAGCCCCCCGGCAGGATGATTGGATGCCGCTCGTCGTAGCTGAGGATAGAGTGCTTCAATTGTCCGCCCACCCGGAGAATGCCCTGCGAATCAAAAAAAAGACTCAAACGGGTAAGTGGATTAGATTTAGATAGGGCGCGGCCTTGCTTTATTGTTTCTAACTCCCCTTTGTAATTTGCAGCCTGCGTCAGGCGGATCCACACTGTGCGAGCGGCCTCTATTTCTTCTACTGACAGGGCATCTTCGTAGAGGCTGGGATTGGACTTTGAAGCAGTAGGATCCGGAGCGCCTCTGTGACGTAGCCACCGTAAGCACCATGCCGATACGCGTAACAGTCGATGGAGTGACGAGAACCGTAACAGTTCTTCGGCTTCCTCCACTCGAAACGGCCCGACTCTCACCGCATTGACCTTTGCTTTCTCCTCTGGTAGATTCTCATCGCAGATGATCTCAGATGTGGATGGCCATGAAGAGCGCTCCGTTTGAAGCCACGGTGGGCCTTGCTACCAGAGAGCGTGGTTTACTAGGGCGCTCGGTAAAAGCCCGCGAGATGCGCAGTCTGCTGGGTTGTCCTTGCCTGGGACGTGCAGCCACAACGCGTCTGGGACCGTCGTCTGGATTTCGGCTACCCGATTGGCTACGTATGTCTTCCAGCGCGTCGGATGTCCACGAATCCACCCCAGAGCGACCGTCGAATCCGACCAGAGATGTAGAGGAGATCTGTCCAAATC